CTCTTACAAGGTTGAAAAGAATGTGTTTTTGCTTTCACAGAAAGTTACAAGAATTATCTCTCAAAGATAGATGTAAAAATGAAGCTCTGATTTTTCTGTAAACCTCACACAGGAAAGATGGGCTTAAAGTTATAAGACTCAGTGTATAATTTCTGAGAATAGATGTGAGTGATTATAGATCAAAGAATATTTTCAGGTTTTTGTAACTTGTTTACATTAGATGTTTTGGTATATATAATGAAAATTATAGCCGTTTATAGTTGTTGTACTCTATCGTTATTAATTTGAATATCTTCCACTCCATTATTACAAATTTGAATATCTTCCACTTGAACCTTTTGAACTGCTGCTGTGTTGGGCTGTTTGAACCTCTGTTTTTGGGCTGTTTGAACTCCTGATTTAATCAAATATTAAATACATTTTAATAACATTTAAGATAAAGGTTTAGGTGAGAAATAATGGGACAAAATAAATTTTGATTTTATTAAACATAAAATCATCAAAATAAATGTTGATTATATTTTTCGCTTTCAAATAAATCATCAAAATAAATTTTAATTCTATTTTTCTCTTCCAAATAAATTAAAACATAATTAAATAAATCATCAAAATATATAAGTCTAACAAGTATATAACAAGAAAGTATTCTGTTGTTAATTATGTATAATTAAAAGCTGATATTACTTCCATAATTTCCCAGTTGAAAAAATATCTGGCTGTGTCACTGTTGTTAAGGTTAGAGATGCGGAGGGGGTAATTTAAATATGAAAAGTTATTTCTAACTCAATTTAAATTTGATTTTTATTGCTTCATAGTAGTTTATTGGCACTGATCTCTAGATCAATTATTGTGTCACATTTTTGTGCATGTGACCTCCGAAAAGAGTTACTGGGCACCCAGTGTGGTGCTGCTATTTAGAAATATGGTTTTTTGCCAACAAAAAGAAATGTGAATGAGAGGAGGAATGGTATTGCTTTGAGATAGGTCTCAACATAACTCTTTTTGTACTCATCCTTTGGTTAAAGTTGCGAGAAATCACCAATTCTTTCTTTTCTTTCAGGCTAAGCGATTCAAGAAGCTGTTACAGAAAGCTGACAACAACTATTGTCCTGTTTATTCTGTTCCTTCCGATTCCATAGAATCATTTCGCTCAACATACACATCTGGTAATTTTTTGTCTTATTTTTAGTGTGGGCCATGAGAACAGGATTTATTTATGGCTGCAGTTGGTGCCAATTAGATATGTTTAAACACCAATCACCCAATGGATATAATGTTCCTACGTTTTCCTTACTAAGAAACGGGAGAATGTAACTGTTTGATCTAAACAGTCACCACACTAAAAGCTGCTAAAAGGTTCTGTAACTGTTTTTAAAGATTGGAATTGGTAGTTTAAAGTTAACTAAGACTTACTTTTAGGGTCCGTTTTTATAGATTTGGATTTCAAATCAAGGTATTTGACCTTAATCGTTCAAAACAATAACTCAAATTTAGATATGATAGTTTGTGTATGAATTTCTAGATAGAGCTAAATAGCTTTATCATGATGGTTTTGAAATAATTGTAAATCATGCTAAGGATTCTCTTTCTAATTGTGAGGATCCTACTAAAATGTATATATCTTCTATCTCAACTTGTCTTTTTCCATTATTTTTCTATCTATTTAGCCTCAAATCCCTTGATTTGAAATCCACAACTATACAAATGGACCCTCAAATTTTTAGAACCCCTTTAGATGTTATACACATGCTACACCTACAAGTGTCTGCACAGGCATGTGTGATTTGGATATTGTTTGCTTATAGCAATTTGGAAGTCTTTTATCTTTTTTTTTTGAACTAGGAGGTCTTTTATCTTGTTCTTGACATTTGAGACCAGTAGAGAAAACAAGAATTTGATCTAAACAGCTGTGGTTGCCAAATGTAAGTTATATCCTTCACTCATTTATTCACAATAATATGAGAAAAATTATATACAAGGAGTAGAAGAATAAATAATTATTAGAGAAACCAATAGAAATACTCAAAGCACTGGACTTGGATTTAACTGGTCAGTTTAAGACAACTTTAACCCAAAAGCAAACGAATGCATTGCAGTTGCTCAGTCAGCCTGCCCATTAGTGTGTGCTGAATCGAGCTGCTTGAAGAGTGAAGGACAAATCTCAACTCTCCTCTAGTGATGAGCATGACGCCAAGGGTGAGAGCCTGATTCTTAAACATAACTGGAATCACCTACATGTGGGATGTCACAATTGTTAACCGCCTTTGGATCATTTAGCTCAGTTGTCTTTTAATTCTTTGCATTATGCACAACTGAAAGAGTTCGACATTCCAGATTGATCTGCCCCTTTCATAGAGTCTCTCCCTCTATCTATCTCTGAATATTTTTATTTTCAGCTTTTTGAATACATAATACCATTATTAAGTTAATAGAGGGAGGAAAAAAAGGTTTGACTAAGTAAAAAGGTTTGCATCAAATCTAATTTGATATTAAACTGTTAGTTTTGTTCCTGTTGTATATAGTTTTTATTTTCTGTTGTTATATTTGGTTGGGCATACATGTGGGCTATGTTGAATGTGGCTTTAGTTTTGTGTGGATTGGCATTAGCTGTTTTGCCAACACTTGCTTGTTCTTGCCAATGTGTCAGTTCTGGAGAAATTGAAAGAGAGTGTCAAATCAGAAACATACAGGAAGCACAAGTTTAAATTCAAGTCTTCTGGCATGGTTAAAGGAAAGGAAAACAATTCGAAGGTGTGAATTTTGTTTTTATAGCAGGAGGTCTATTCCATCACAAGTTAAATTTTGTAGTGTACATAAGGTGAGTCCCAATTTTTTGGTGTAACTTCTACAGTTTTGATTAATGTTGTTAATGACTTTATGTAACTTGCTGCGTAGAAATTATTAGCCTTTCAACTAAGTCTATAGAGAATGTTATATGGAAGAAGATAAAACCCTTTTGATATTTGTTTGTATAGTACTTCTTGAGAAGGATTTGTATTGCACGAAAGTCTACTTCAGTGTGCCCAATCCCCCTGAGAAGTGTCTTCTTGATCTTCACACACACACACATGGATAGATCCATGATTCTTGTTCAGGGGACAAGCCATGGTCAACAAGAAGTTATGCCAAACATGTTGGAAAAAAATAAATTTTAAACGAACTACATAAATTTCAGTTGTTAATTTTGGATTTTGTTTACTGTGCCCTTTGGGCGCATGTTAAGAAGTTTAAATAGATTGTACATTCACAGTTTCATGCATAATGCATGGTTATCAAAATCAAAATCCGGATCATACGATCCTACAATCCTAAATTGTCAAAACGATCCAAATTGTTGTAGGATCGATATTATAGTAGGATTGTAAGTAGGATCATATGGGATCGTAGGTAGGATAGCTGGATATATGATTTTTCACTTTATTTTTAATATATATCATTCTGATTTGTATTTTTACCTTATTTTTAATAAAAAGTAGAATTTTATGATCCTTGATCCGATCCTACGATCCAATCCATGAGACCCTCGTCACTTGCACTTTTATCCACAGGTATGATTGTCACCCACAAGTGTGATTTGCAAGTTGGCTCATCTGTGGGTTTTCAAAAACTTGCGGGTGAGCCACAAACCTGCGGCCAACCTGTTTCTTGAGTGTTTTCCATCCATTCGTTTGATTCGACTTCTTATTCGCTCATTTTGAAATAAATGGGTATTTTGGTTTGCAAAAATGCGGAGACGAACAAAGTCAAATGATCGAAATGACATATCAATCCTTGAAAATTCACTTTAAAAATGTTTTTAAAGGCTTGAAAACATTTTGGCTGAAAAGGGTTTCAGGGTTGGGAACTATCTCTTCTTGAAAGGCTTTGCTTGAAGCTAGTTGGGGACCATCTTCGTTTCATCATTATGGGATCACCTCGGAGTGCCCAGGCATTAAGGCTGGTAAAAAATGGGATGTCTATAATCTCTTCTCTACCTTCTTTTTCTATTTTCTTTGTTGCATTTTCTAACATGTTGATAACTTAGTCTATGCTTCTAGGTTCGATTTATTGTGATTTTTGGGTGATGTTGCTATATTGTTGTGTTTGGAAATTTCCATGACTTGAGATGCGTCATATGATATTCTAGTGGCAACCAGCTCTATAAGTTACAGTATTATGAGTTTATTTGCATTAGTGTTCTTATGCATTTTTGTATTTCTAATTCTTTTTCTTTCTCTTTGGTTTGGTGCGGAGGAGTACTATGTGAGTTTTCGCTCCCTTTTGCATCTCGCATGTTTTTTTTGTTTTTTGTTTTTTTGGAACTTTTTACGTACAAAGCATGATTTTATGAGGTTATGTGTTTACATGATAGATCTCTATGATTATTTTTTGATTAGAGGACGTTTTGCCTAAGTTGGAAACACTTTTATCCCTTCTAAATGAAGTTTCTTCCTTTTTTTTTTTTTTGGAAATTCTTATCAGAACATTTTATTTTTCCGAAGAAAGGGGGGATAAAGCATTCCAAAGTGAGTCATTTGTCCTATTGATTACTTCACATAGAAAAGTAGCTTTCATAATCAGAACATGGACGTATTTGGTAATGAATTTCACTTCAAAAATTAGTAGAGGCCGATCTTTTGATTGGGTGAGTTGGGGTTGCTCAATTAATGACTTTCTCCTCTCATATCTAAACTTTCATATCAAGTTTTCTAGTTACGCACAGTCAATGACCTATATTGTTCGGAGTTAGGGTTTCCTAGTTTTTCCTAAAAGATTAGGTGGCAATTCCAATTATAGTGATATGATCTTTATTTGGCATTTCGTTAGATAAGTGGATTTTGTAGGTTATTATCAAATCTAGACCCTTACCTGATTCACATTGCACATTGTGAACAAGTCAAAGGTGAACTGTTAGGCCCACGGGCACACCCACAATAAGTTTAATAAAGGGAAAACTGGCATGTAGTATGAGCAATACTTGATTTTGTTGACTTAAAGAAATTTGACTTTGGAAAGTAATTTTGAGAATGAATTAAGTAAGGAAAGGAGTTTTCTATTAACATGTCATGGTTAGGTTAAGGATATGAATATGTGTAACACATTTATTACAACTGTTTACATATACTTCAGCAAAGACTATAATTTTTACATTTATAAGTTTCATTTTAAAGCAATATTAGACGATTGAGATACTCTCCAAGGGCCCATATAGGGAAGATATTTCTGTAGGCAGAATAACTTATCATACAATTCTTGTTGAACACTCCCATAATTTCCTGTCACACCAAAAAAAATAAAATAAAAATTCCAATATATAAATTAATCCATCATGTCCTTAAATTGAAAATTAACCTCAAACACCTAGTATAATTATTACCTGTTGTGGAAAATCTCCATTTTCCATTTGGGAATTAATTAATACTTTTGCAGCACGATGCAATGGGGTTGGATCTCTCTCGGCCTGCTCATTGTAAATTGGAAATTGCAAATTAACATAACAAACGAGTGCTTAACAATTCGTGAATTATAGTTTTCATAGAATGTGCTCAACAAATTAATCTTGTGAACTCTATGGACACACCTGCCCAGCTTCAATGAGAGCCAACATAGCCCATCCAGTGTTTACTACATGTGATTTGTTTCCTTCTATATTTGTGTAAACCTGTTCTCATACGCACAACAAATAAAGGTGAGGGGAAGCAATTCATGTTTGTAATTGAAATCTACTAGAATTTGAAAATCTTTGTCAAAAACTAAACTAAATTTTGCATTATGAGAAGTTTAAACTTTTCACAATATTAAAGACTTGTAAGTGAATGGTTAGGCTAAACCCTAAACCCTAAACAATAGCGCTATATATGAGGTAAGATTACCTTGTTTTGGCATGAAAGGCAGCTTTCTCCCCATCCACCAGAATCAACTTGTTTGGATAATAAGAAATCACATGCTTTTCTGATACTATAACTGTTTTGGAAGGTCCTTCCACCAGACACCAACCCCTTTATCCCAAACCATGTCCCATAAGTATAACAGACTCCCCATGATCCATACCTACATAAGAACTTTAACCATGCTAAGTGGCTTATCCCATGGAATTTAAACCTTTATTTATTTATTTTTCAACGGCTAGTGAGAATAGTTAATTGTTAAGGAAGATGTGAAAATTCAGTGCAGAAGTAGTAGTTTTAACTTTAAATAAACATCAAAAAGAAAGGTTGAAAAACACTTGATTATAATTAGAATCTCCAATTCAGATCACTACCAGTTACCAGGGACTTAACCTTCATACCATTGATTTGAAAAGTAGCAGACCTACCCAAGGATCAAAATTTCATGTTAACTGTATATACCAGAGTCTAGTGGGCAAACTTGGTCACTGACACCATCTTTGAAGTGTGAAGTTTCTTGGTTTGTTGTCAAGTTTTGCCAAATTTATGAATATGTTGGTTCATGTGGTGCAACTTGACCATCAGTGTGAGACAATACCTTAAAAGAAACTAGCAATTTTTTATAGTGGGTGTTTGGAAAGTGGGTTTTTATGTAGGTTTTTTTAGTTGTAGGATATTATTAGATAAAATTTTTTTGGTGTTTGGGAAGATAGTTGGGTTTTTATGTGGTTGGATGTGATGTTTGTGAGAGAAAAAGTGAAATGATTATGGGGTTGGATGTGATATTTTGTTTGGATGTGTTTTTTTTGATTTTGTAAAAAGTTTGTCTTTTAGTAGAAAAAATCAAAAAAAAAATTGGAACCCAAGTTCCCAAACACCACCATAATAATAAAATCCTTTTATGATATGAGGTCAGAACAAAGCCACAAAGTCCCCATGTCATTTTGGATAAAGTGTAATTGTTAACTCAGTTAATTATAGATATAAAATGACTATTATATCCTCAAACCTTATATCCTTTTTGTTACTCTCTCTCTCTCTTCTATTATACACTTAATTTATAATTTGTAACATTAATTCACTTAAATCACAATTAATCATAAATTCTTAATTATTTATTGTAATTCCTAACAACCCCCCCCCCTCCTTCCTCCTTTCAAATTTTTTTTTTTTTTTTTAAAGTTGCTGTTGATGATGATGATAGATTCATATATATATATATATAAAGATTCATGGGAGAGGAAATAAAATGTGATTTTTTTCTTCTTATTTATCATAGTAGCTTTGCTTTGTTTCACACTATTTATCTTTATGTTACAGATGATTCTTCTAAATAGAAAAAAAAACAAAAATGCTTCAAAATTCTTGTTTCGTTTTAAATTACATAAAACATTAGCAATTAAATTAAATGGTGTAATGGTCTTTTGATTGTTAGCAACACTGAAGTGTTGGCAATAAAAAATTGTCACTAGGAGTGTGCAAATAATTCGTAGAAATTTGCATTATCTTACTGATAATCTATGATGATATCTCCAAATGTTTCAGCTGGGTTAATCATCTGTGAGTGAGACAAGTTGCATGAAGCTTCTATTAGTTAAACATTCGATCCCTTGTGGGTAGAGCATAACTTAAAAGATAGAAAGAAAGCACCTACCTCCAACCATGTGTAGGATCGTGTGCGCTCATATGATGCGAAGCCTCCATTGTTGTTCTGTAATTTAAAAGAGAAGCAAATCAATTATATTTTTATGTAGAAGCACTTTGTTTGATGACATGGTTCACTATTATGGTCATATTATATTATATTGTAATATTTTAATATTTAGTTGTGAAAAGTTCGTAATTGGTGATCAAAAAAAAAAAAAAAAAATAGAAGACAGCGGCTTTTATTTTTCAAGACTAATGTGTTTTAGTTGTAGAAGTGTTGTGTTATGTGACTAATTTCAAGTTTTGGTCACAAAAAGTTGATGTGGGAGGGCAAAAATTTAAGCGGGAGTTGTTAATCTTTTAGTGACTAATATAATTTGGTTGCAGATACTAATACAATGTCGATTTGGCTGTTTTTATATAGATTATATATTTGGTGACTATAACCTTTTGTAGGAGAAAATAATCTATTGAAACCTTGATGAAATTGAAGTGTTGATGTAATGTCTTGGTTCTAAAACCTGGCTTGAAACCCACTTGTACGGATGCCCCGACACACTTTCGGGATTGTGAATGGATGAATAATGTCGTTGTTATCTTATATACTATTTTTTGTACTTTGCACATTGTTGGGGGTTGTTGTTACACTTAGAACTGTCCTAGGGTAAAGCAGAACATAATCTGTCTTAGGCACCATCGCGCCCGTGATGTGTAGATGTCGAGACTGCTACCAAAAACACCTCCCAGTACTTTTGCCTGAGTGAAAAACTTGCGCTCGTGAAGGAGACCACCGCAGCTGCAACTGTGTCTATCGCGCCCGCGATGAAATGGGTCGCATCCGCGATCTGTTATTCTATAAAAACATAGCAATGCATGAAAAGATCACTTTTGATACACCTTTCTGCACTCTCTCTCTCACTCATGTGAAAATTTGACCTAGTTCTTGGGGCTTCAACCTTGATTTTGGAGCATCTAGAGTTGGGATTGATCTCGACTCTTACTTGGGTATTGTAGGACTTCACTTTAATCTCGGCCAAAAGTGGATTAGAGCTTCTATCTTTGCTCTTAGCTTCTCCTCTTCTCTACAGGAGGTACGGTTTTAATTCATTGACTCAATATGAGTTTATTGGTGTACTTATGGTAGTTTTGATATAAAACTACCATGTTGTTGATGTTGTTGTTGATTTGGAAAAAACATGGTTATGAGGTTAGAGTTCGATGATTTGGGTGGGTTTTCTCTGTTAGTTTCTTATCAAACCTATTATTGTTGTAACAAAGTGCATGTGAATACTTTAATTTGAGAAAACTCCAACTTGTAAACAAAATCCTTGAACTTTTGAGTTTGGAATGTGAGAAATGGTTGTTGAAGTGTTGGGAAGGTAGTGTTATTGGTTGTTGATAGTTGTTCTCATTCATTTATGATTGAGATTTTGTTGACAATGAAACCCGTTGTTGAACCGTGGTGCATGGAACACGTTTTGCAAGAAATGAACATTTTATTATTGCATTGGTATTATTAAAAACATGGTTTTAATTGAACGGTTAGGGTGAATCCCGGTCATGTATGGTGAGATTGTGAATGGTTAATTTGGCTCTATAGTTCATGATGAAAGACTGAAAACAAGGACAGTTAAGTGCCAAGGCCCTCCAGTTAGTAACCAGTAAATTTGGTGATTTAGGTGACGCTTGGTGATGGTCACTGGCAGAGTGTAACTTTACATAGTGCACTGGGATAAGTGGTGCTTAGCGATGACCACTGACAAATACATGGACTTGAGAGGATTCACCGGGTCTTAGTGTTTATGTTGGAAAATGGTGGTTTAGACAAAACATTTTAAACACATTATATTTGTATAGCATCATGATCATCTATACTTGTGGATTTGTATTGGTTTTTGAAATGTTCCCTACTGAACTACATGTTTATCCTATGTGGTTGAAATCTTTTTAGTTGTTGATGGTGTGCACCAACCTTAAGGCGATGCGCTGGGATTTGTGCTTGAGCTTGAGGAGCCTGATATTCAGGCCTAGGGCCTTTCTTTTATTTAGGCCATGAGCCATTTTTGTTAAGGGTTGAACCCTTTTGTCTTGTAAGCCTCGGGGCAACGTATAATGTTTTTGTATATGTATATAGACATGACGCTTGCAATAGAACTATTTCATGATATGAATGATGTTAATATAAGCATGTATTTAGACTTCTTTTATTCATTGTCTTTTCATTTAGGGCAAGTTTGACGTCTCTTAAAAAAGTTAAAAATTTATCATTTTTTATTAAAAAAAAAAATATTAAAAAATTATTTTTCCACACATCCATACAACTCAGCAATGTCAAAAAAATTACACAGTTTGAGTGTAATTTTCATATACTGTTGTTCGGCCTGTGGGGGCTCATCATGGGTCCCGTTTTGATAATCTGAACCGTTCAATGTGTAGAACTCGTTGAGTACTGTATGTTTGTAAAAAATCACATTTTTCGGATATCAATAACTACATGATCAAATCAATTTTGTATAAAAAAAAGGATGGTGTTATAATTAATGATTAAAAAAACAAATCTGATCAGATAGCTATCAATATCCGATCAACGCGATTTTTTATAGACATATAGTACTCTACGAGTTCTACATATTGAACGGTTCAGATTATTAAAATGGGACCCGTGATGGCCTCCACGGGCCGAACAAAATCGTCTATTGCAATACCTGAAAAGTAGCCAATAATTTCTTATACCTCTCCAATCTTCTTTACACACTTCTTTATATAATAAAAACTTAAAAAATTAACCCAAACATCCATATTTTTTCCCTCACCTTTTTAATTCAAAAAAATAAAAGATATACTTATTTAGGAACCAAACAATCCCTTACTATTTAATAGATTATTCACATAGGTCGGATCTTGGAAATCCGGAGTGTGACAGTTGATTACAAGCAACCTCACTCCTCTCACACTCCCATTGTGTGGCACTCACCAGCGCCATCACTGTCAACGCCACCATCCTCGCTTCTCCACCGTCAGTGGTGCTATCTTCATTTCTCCACTATCAACTCCCGCCTTCATTGTTTTACATATGGTCGGTCTCTCTCTCTCTCTCTCAATCTTTCTTTTTTTTTTCTTTTTTTTTTCTCTGTTCTTGTCTGTCTCTTTGGTTTCCCTAAAATTTCAAAACTGTAACAATCCTAGATTTTAATTTGTAACTTTTGGATTATTATTTTTGAATTAGAATTTAGAGAACAATCTATAACTGGAATCCCTTTGTTTTCAATACATATGTAATTTACAGTAAGAATTATCATGAATGAGGAGTATGTGTGTGATTTAGTTGAATTATTTCACTAAAACATTTCATCTCATATGTAATTTTCATAATGTAACAATCAGAGGCACATATATTCAAACCTATTATTGTTGTAACAAAGTGCATTTGTTGGTTGTCAATTTCAATTAACACAATATTATTTTTTATATTTTATTTTTTAGAAATCAATCACAAATATTAATAAAAAAAATTCAAATTCTGCAATTAGCTTTGCAACAACTTCAAAACAGAGCAAAACACCCTGTTTTTATTCATGAACTCTTGGCTGAGATATGTTCCATGTTGGAGGAGCTAAATCTAATTTTAGTTTGTTGTTTTGTGAAAATTTTGGGAGATACATCTGAACATGTTTGCACGAGCTTAGAATTTTTGACCCTTTGGAATCGTAGACTTTCTTTGTAAATGGATGGTTTACATGGATTTTTTTTTTTTTTCAATTTTTTTTTTATTCAAATAATAATTATATATTCTGTTTGGTTGAGTGGATTATAATATATGAATTGGAATTATTAATCTATGAAATTCATATTTTAGTTTTGGTTGCAATTTTTATTATTTAGATTAAATTACAATAAAGATTCTATCTAACAAAATTGACAAAATTTTAATCGTATAACTAATAATGCATAATAAATATATAATTGAGGTTATGTATGTCCATATCTATTACCAACATTTTCTTTAGATTGAGTGCTCATCAAACATCGGGGCATTTCCCTAAATAAGCCAAATAGTAAGTCAATTCCCAAACTAAGCCTAGTTTTGAAAGAATTCCCAAAATAATCAAACATCTTCCTTAGTTGCAGTGGTCAAGTAATGAGATCTCCAATTAATCTGCAGCCTTCACCACTGTAACTAAGAAATAACTCTGGGTGTTTTTCATTCTAAAGCACACAATTTAAAGGCTTACATCAAGATTTTATGCTAAAGTTTTAGTATGAAAATGTTTTGCATGTTGTCCTGGCTCACTAGTTAAGATCCTCAAGAGTAGTACCTGAAGAGAGAGAATAAAATTGACTGCATTATATAACTGATCTACTGCTATTGTTTCTCCAACAAGGGTAGATGGCAACTGGGATAGCATGAGTGCTGCCTGCATAAAATTATATTATACCATAAATGAAAACATTTTTTAAGCCATCTTTTAAACTTAGAGAACTCCATTACTAAAATTGTAAATGTCCTATCTAAGGTACATTTGCATGCCAAAAGACTGGGTAAGCATGGATACTTTCATATTGGAGTCGTATTCGTATCACAAACCAATACATACCAAACACTCATGGATATGTATGTGATAGTTCCTAAACATATTGAATACTTTATTTTTTTTATATTTTTTTTAAAGAATATCAGCTACCTTAGATAACATATTTGAGTTATTATGAAAGAAATTGTAATAATATTTGCATAGGATTAGCGTATAATTGACAAGAATAACTTCTCAATACTTTACAAAGAAGAAGAAAATATTTTTAAAACTTATCCAGTTGACATACCCTTATAAATGTGTCATATATGTATTTCATATTCATATCCATATATAGTTTTTAAAAAGTAAGGACAACTATGGAAATATGATGATCCTAAAGTTAGATTTCAACACAAACACTTTGTGTATAACACATTTAACTATATGAAAGTGAGAAATACAAAGGAGAAAAAATAGTTTAGATGTGATATCGAAATGAAAATTTCAAAAAAAAAGAAAAAGAAAAGTGTAACGTGGTTGGTCATTGACTCACCTTGTACAACACAATACAAAAATTATTAAAATATTTTTTATGAAGATAACCTGGTCGTACCCATATCTATTTTTGAAGTTTTTTCATATTGTTGAATTCATATCGTATCATACCTGTATCTTATATCCATACTTAGAAAAATACATATTGGCTCATGCTTTTGACAAAAAAAAAAAATTGAATTTTTTAAAATTTTAAGCAATTTTTTTAATTTTTAGACATACCTAATATAAATACACTTAAAAAGTATAATTTTTGTGAAAAAAAATCTTTAAAAACTTTCACTAAATACCAAAAATACAAAAAAAATATGAAAATTCAATATATATATTTTTAATATTTTTGTGTATTTATTAATTTTTTTAAAATATTTTTTTATAAATATTTTACTTTTTAAATACATCTAAGTAAGATGTATCTAAAAAAGTAAAAAAAAAAAAACTTAAAATTTTAAAAATATTCACTAAAAAAAAAAAACACGAAAAACAAAAAACTTAATTTTCAGAAAACTGAATTCAGAAAAATAAAGCCAAACATTATTTTTTAGAACAGAAATGGTCCGGACCCCCATTGGGGGTGACCCCCAGTACCCCTAATGGGCTGTGATTGGTCAAAGTCCTTTTTAGAAATCAATCACACATATTAGTAGGTTCTTGTTTTCAATTAACACAATATTATTTTTTATATTAATAAATAAATTCAAATTCTGCAATTAGCTTTGCAACAACTTCAAAACAGAACAAAACACCCTGTTTTTATTCATGACCTGTTGGCTGAGATATGTTCCATGTTGGAGGAGCTAAATCTGATTTTAGTTTGTTGTTTTGTGAAAATTTTGGGAGATACATCTAAACGTGTTTGCATGAGCGTAGAATTTTTGACCTTTTAGAATTGTAGACTTTGTCTTTGTAAATGGATGATTTACATATGTTTTTTTTATTTATTCAAATAATAAATTATATAGTCTGTTTGGTTGAGTGGATTATAATATATGAATTGGAATTATTAATCTATGAAATTCATATTTTAGTTTTGGTTGCAATTTTTATTATTTAGATTAAATTACAATAAAGATTCTATCTAACAAAATTGACAAAATTTTAATCGTATAACTAATAATGCATAATAAATATATAATTGATGTTATGTATGTCCATATCTATTACAAAACAAATGAGGACAAGGAAGGAGATTATTTGTCCTACTAATTCAGTTGGATAACATATATCGCTTACCACTAGGCAATTGTTGGTTCACAAGGATTAAAAACCGACATTTTCTTTGGATTGAGTGCTCATCAAACATCTTCCTTAGTTGCAGTGGTCAAGTAATGAGATCTCCAATTAATCTGCAGCCTTCACCACTGTAACTAAGAAATAACTCTGGCTGTTTTTCATTCTAAAGCACACAATTTAAAGGCTTACATCAAGATTTTATGCTAAAGTTTTAGTATGAAAATGTTTTGCATATGTCCTGGCTCACTAGTTAAGATCCTCAAGAGTAGTACCTGAAGAGAGAGAATAAAATTAACTGCATTATATAACTGATCTACTGCTATTGTTTCTCCAACAAGGGTAGATGGCATCTGCGATAGCACGAGTGCTGCCTGCATAAAGTTATATTATACCATAAATGAAAACATTTCTTTTTAAGCCATCTTTTAAACTTAGAGAACTCCATTGCTAAAATTGTAAATGTCCTATCTAAGGTACATTGTCATGCCAAAAGACTTAGAAGCATGCATACTTTTATATTGGAGTCGTATTCGTATCATAAACCAATACCTACCAAACACTCATGGATACATAAGTGATAGTTCCTAAACGTATTGAATACTTGATTTTTCTTTTTTCTTTTTTAAAAGAACATCAGCTACTTTAGATCACAGAAATTGTAATAATATTTGCATAGGATTAGTGTATAATTGATAGGATACATACAAGAATAACTTCTCAATACTTTACAAAGAAGAAGAAAATATTTTTTAAAACTTGTCCAATTGACATACCCTTATAAATGTGTCATATATGTATTTCATATTCATATACATATATAGTTTTTAGAAAGTAAGGACAACTATGGAAATATGATGATCCTAAAATTAGATTTCAACACAAACACTTTGTGTATAACACATTTAACTATATGAAAGAGAAAAATACAAAGGAGAAAAAATAGTTTAGATGTGATATTGAAATGAAAATTTAAAAAAAAAAAAAAAAAATGTAACATGGTTGGTCATTGACTCGCCATGTATAACACAATACAAAAATTATTAAAATATTTTTTATGAAAATAAATTGGTCGTACCCATATTCTACTTTCAAAGTTTTTTCATATCGTTGAATTCATATCGTATCATACCTGTATCTCATATCCATACTTCATAGAAAAAGAAATATTGGCTCATGAAATTGGCTTATGTTTTTGAAAAAAAAAAAAAAAAAAAAAAAAAAAACAGGAAAGGGAGATAGATTTCTATGCTCTATGTTTCCTCTAAAAGTTTTCTACAGAATATGTTTTAAAACAACATTAGTATATCTTTTACTTATGAAATTTTAACGCACCTTCTAAGGACCATCTTAAACTTTCTGAAGTTTATGGAAACAATCTACCTTTAAACCTTCTGCAGTGCAATCTGATACAGGCCAACCATTATCTGGGGTAGAGAAAGGCCACCCACCCTTTGAAATGTGACGGTACCAGAAGCTAAGATTGCCTGAGCTGTCATTCCTAACCTTTAAGCCAAAATCAAATTCAAATTAGTACAACTCATATATTTGACATAATTAGAATAAATTTTTTATACATGAAGAACATTGTTCACCAAAGTTCTAACTTGCCTGTGAGATCCTAATGAACTCATGGGATTTTTTAAGCATTGAACCATATTCATCAACCAGATTGGTAGAGAGAATTGCTTGGACGGCAAAAGCAACATCCCATAACTGGGATCCATTGTAACCCTGACATTGAAATATTGTCTTTGGTTTTTTAGTAGTTCAAAGAAAATCTGTTAGACGGAGGTATCACCTTCCTTCTTTCCCATTACTTTGTTTCATACTTGTAAGTTCTAATTAATAGCCAACGAGTGTGTAACAAGTTTAATTGGGGTAAAATACTTGATAGAAAACCTGCATTTTCATTCCATCTTCAGCCACCCAGAGATAATCTTTGATCCTTGAGAGGTGTAGCTGATTTGCCATTGAATTTGGATCATCCACCCAACAACATATCATGTTTAGTACCTATGGTTAGAAAGCATAACTTAGTATTCGGTACAATTCTTACACTCCCAAAAATAAAAGTAGTTTTCTATGGAGTGACAAGTAGATAGGCTAATCATAAGTTATTGAAAATTGTCCATGTATACCGAAGTTTATTACAATTTAACAACCTATGCATTCTCTTTCTAGGATATTCATGCTTATGATTTTTGCCAAAATGGTTGGATATGCATATGTTTGAAAAAAGAGAAAACATGCATTTATAGAGATAAAACTAAGCACCTTATTTACTGGTCCAAGACAGATATATTTTGTATTCTCATCCTCATAGTGAATATGTTCCATTACCACGCTTAGTGCCTTTTTTCTTAGCCTATAGAAAGGCCATCGCATGAGAAGAGGCTCCCCAATCTTATGTAAAGAATCCCAAAGGATGTCTTGTATCATGGGATGTGGGTAGTACAAATCTTCCTGCAACACTAGATTGGATATTATAAATATTATCGTGATTATTACATATTCATTTGAAACAATGGCATAATTATCAAGTAAAATTGCATTACATGATTGATCTTTGATTGAAATGCATCCAACATCAACGGCAGGGAAAGAACAAATTATGTTTTCAATTGAGATTAATATGCTAGAGTTGATAATGGGATGGTTCAAATTTGTTTGGTCAGGTTAATTTTGGCTCAACTTTAAATACCTAGTTATATTTAACTTAGTTGTTTGACATAGAGATGTAATTGGGTATAGCCTATCACTAAAATTTGTGTACTAAGTTTAGTTGTTGATATCAGTATGTTCATTAAAGCAATATGGTGGAGCTAGTGACATGGAACGATAATTGAATTGATTAAAGAAATAATATTTAATAACTAATTTTGATAATATTTTATATTTTGGTATTTATTTTTTTTGGTTTTTAGTTAGGACTTCTTGACTAGATCATGACAATTTGTGGTTCTTGTGTTTTTTCCCCTTTATTCTTTGTGTTTTCGATATTTTTTATTTTCACTTTCTGATCAATTCTCCGTGGATTTTGATTTTGGGATCAATTGAATAGTTGAATAGATTTCTTAATAGTTGTTCAATGTCAGTTAGAGTCTTCAAAATGAAAAGAAACTGAGCAAGGATAAATATGTATCAAACTATACCTTAGCGCATAGGTATCTAGCTTGGTTCCAATCAATCTGATGGTAGGGATGTGTATACAACTCTCTTCTCAATGATAAAATGGTAGCATTAATTGGCCCCACGAACCTCTTCCCATATAAATATGACATTGGTAGGTACACCATCCTACAATGACACCACATACGCCCTGCATAAAGTGGAACATCTTTTGTAATTTTGGTTGTTGATGTATTGATATGCCAATTTATATGACATATCTGTAAGCCTACTTACTCTCTTAATGTATATTGCGTTCTTTAATATTGTGAAGCATAAATCCAAACACACGCATTATGCATACATACATAACAAGATTAAAAATAAAAATAAAAAAGGCATTTGCACATTTATTTACATACACATCCTAAAATGTAGTACAAAAATTAGAGTTAGTTACTATTTCATGTGCTTTGTACATGCCATGCCACGCTATTCCATCTGAAACATTATTCACCATTCTTTTGATAAAAGTTTTTGTAATTATACTAGAGAAAATGCATAGAGAAAACAAAACCCAACAAAAAGTAGAAGTAGAGGGTGAATAAAAAGTAGAAGTAGAACCTGGGTGTATGGGAAAAAAGTAAGGTAGGAGCCATATCTCTGGGGGTAGGGGATTGTTGCCACTCCATTCATAAACACCAAGTACCTACCAAAAGGTGAAGAATACCCACCATGTAAATCCCTCATTAGACCTTAATTCTATAATAACAATTAAGATGATTATAATAATTACATTATCGGTGCCATGCCTCATGATTATCATAATATATTTAACACCATTTTAATATTATTTTGTTCTTCTTTCCCATATAGTACAACCAAATGGCTTTATCTTATTTCCTTGAATACATTATATCAACAATAAACTTGGAACAAATGTAGAATTAGTTTTGGATAACTTTTTTAAATTAGTCAAAAATTGCTAAGCAACAATATAACAAGAAGACAAAGAAAAAGAAGACAACAAAATTATACCGAAAGCCAAAACTTCCCCCATGAAGGAATGTGCGTGACACCACCATGATCAAGAATCCATTTTCTTGCCTTCTCCATGGCTCCATCTCCACCATTCATCCTTTCTCCAAGCAATCTCAAAGTAACATAGTTAAGAGCTGTACAAAACATGGTACTGCTCCCTTCTATATGTAATCCCCAACCTCCATTGAAATTCTGCAAATATAATTGGATCATAGTCGTTCTCAATTTTCACCCAAAAAGAAGAAGAAGAAGAAGACATGTTAGCTTCAACACTCTTGCCCTTATCATTTTTCCATGTTCTGTTGTACTCTTGTATTTTGAACATTCCTAACCCGCTTTACTAAATTAAAATTCTCTCGTCATATGTCCTGATAGTTATGTAGTATTTTTACTAATGTTGGGTTGCAAAATAGATTACGCTAAGGTTTAACCATAACTATGCAAGTTCAAACCCAAGTATATTTGCATTGTTTGTACCATAATTGCATAAATTGGGAGTGAGTTTATGGTTGGAAGTGAGTTTCCTACTACTAATATTTGTACCTATACATCAAAATGAAAAGAGATAATTACCTGATGATTATATAGGTAACGACAAATTTCCAGTTGATGCTCTTGTGGCAATATTGTGTTTAAGGCTCCCATGATAGACAAGCTGATAACCTATGAAATGATGCGATCGATACTTTAGCAAGCAAGAGTTGGGCAAATAATTACAAATAAATGGAAGACGAATTTTTTATTATCATATGCAAGTTTTTATGCATTCGATCCCCTGTAATTCAATGCTACTAGTAGGCATATATTCTCTAATTTTTGTATTTAGATCGTGGGGTGAGAAAATCAAAGAAATAATTGTGGTCTCTCATCTAGTTGAGAAAAGAAAAAGTACGATTGTATTTATTCACTCTCATGTTTGGATGAGTAAGAAAGAAAGGTATGTGATATAGGAATATGGATGATATCTCTTTTTCTTCCTTAGTAGTTTGATGAGCAATCTCGGTATTATAAAAAATATACATTCAATCAATTCGCATTCCACCAAAGCTTACCACTTTAGTGAGAAATGGAACTCAGAAAATAAGGGACTTTTCTTTCTTCCCATTTCTCATCATTTCCCATCCAACTTATAAACCAAACATGAGAAAAAATTTATATATATATATGTGTACTGGGAGCAAATATCCGATGCTGTCCGTAATCCTCATGTCCAAGCTTCACGTCACTCCGATTAACCTGCAAACACAACAATGGTGAGCTACTCGGTAGTGTGTTGCCGGAAAACCCCTCCGACGAACAAGTTAATACACTTTTTTGAGAGAGAAAGAGAGAAAAGACCAAAGAGAGATAGAGCCCTGGGTTACTAGAAAATCAGATCTCTTGTATGGAGGCGCTGCTTAGTCTATATAGCCTCTGCGTGCGCTGCTCTGCTCGTCCTTTCCTGGTTACGTGGTTGTACTGCCCTCTCTATTCTTTACACGGGTACCTGTCCATACCGCCAAACAACGTTGGCCAAACTGCCAAATGGTATTGACGCACACCATTGGCGGGTTTTGTCTTCTCACACTCCAATTGGACCACTTGGCAATTTCCACCGAGCTAGGCATAGCCCGGTCAGTTCCAACTTCAATTCCGGCCGACCTTCAGGGTCAAGCTCAATAACTAGCTCGGTTTGTCCAACTCCATTTGTTTCCGTTGACCTTGCTCGGCCCTGGACCATCGCTTCACCTAGCTCGGCTTAACTTGGTCCAACTGACGGACCTTGGGCAAACTCAGACGCATGATCTAGAACCTCAGCCAAATTGCCCTTGGTTATGCCAATTCGGTCGCATAATCCAACGGCAAGGCCCAAATCACAACTAGCTCGGCCCGTTTGCTCGGTACAAACTCCCCTCTCAATCACATACATAGCTCGGCCCACACTTTTCCACCAAGCACATACATAGCTCGGCCCATTCAGCTCATTGGATTTTTTCCTCTCTCAATTGCCCCTTAATCCCATCGGTTGCAACCTGATTGGGATTATTTTATTCTTGTATAATCTTCATTTCAACTCGGTTTGTCATCTAGCTACATGATAGCTCGATCAAGTTTTATCACTTGTTTTCGGGGCCCATGCTGCACTGCTACACAAATCTTCATAGCTCAAAATTTTCAAAATGTTCTTCGATTTTTGTGTTAATCACTTAACCAGCTTAGCTCGGTGATTTATTTCTCGGCAAGTGAAATCAACGCAACTCCTTGGTAAGAAAAATAAACTTAGCTCGACGATTTACTTCTTGGCCAGCAAAATTAGCTTGGTAACTTCCTTGGCAAGCAAAATCAACTCGACAAGGAACTCCAAAGTTGGCGAGCAAGGTCAGCTCGACAATTTGCATCTTGACGAGCAAAATCAGTTTGGCAAAGAACTCCAAGGTTGCGAGCAAGGTTAGCTAGGTGACTTGCTTCTTAGCGAGAAAAATCAGCTCGGCAAGGCACTCCAAGGTTGGCGAGCAAGGCCAGCTCGGCCACTTGTTTCTTGGCGAGCAAAATCAGCTCGACAAGGAACTCCAAAGTTGGCTAGCAAGGTTAGCTCGGCAACTTACATTTTGGCGAGCAAATTAGCTTAGCTAAAAACTTAAAGGTCGGCGAGCAAGGTTGATGAGTAAGATCAGCTTGGCAACTTGCTTCTTGGCGAGCAAAAATCAGCTTGGCAAGGAACTTCAAGGTTGGCGAGCAACGTCAGCTCGGCAACTTGCTTCTTGGCGAGCAAAATTAGGTCGGCAAGGCGCTTCAAAGTTGGCGAGCAAGGCCAGCTCGACCACTTGCTTCTTGGCGAGCAAAAATCAGCTCGTCAAGGACTTCAAGGTTGGCGAGCAACGTCAAATCAGTAACTTGCTTCTTGGTGAGCAAAATCAGGTCGGTAAGGCGCTCTAAAGTTGGCGAGCAAGGCCAGCTCGGCCACTTGCTTCTTGGCAAGCAAAAATCAGCTTGGTAAGGACTTCAAGGTTAGCGGGCAACGTTAGCTCGGCCATTTGCTTCTTGGGGAGCAAAATTAGTTCGGCAAGGAACTTCAAGGTTGGCGAGCAAGGTCAACTCGGCAACTTGTATCTTGGCGAGCAAAATCAGCTCGGCAAGGAATTCCAAAGTTGGCGAGCAAGGTTAGCTCAGCAACTTTCTTCTTGGCGAGCAAAGTCAGCTCACTAAGGAACTCCAAAGTTGGTGAGCAAGGTCAGCTCGACAACTTGCTTCTTGGCGAGCAAAATTAGCTCGGCAAGGAATTCTAAAGTCGGCGAGCTAGGTCGACGAGCAAGGTTATCTCGGCAACTTGCTTCTTGGCGAGCAAAATTAGCTCGGTAAGGAACTTCAAGGTTGGCGAGCAAGGTCAGCTCAACAACTTGCTTCTTGGAGAGCAAAGTCAGCTCACCAAGGAACTCCAAAGTTGGTGAGCAAGGTCAGCTCGACAACTTGGTTCTTGGCAAGCAAAATCAGCTCGACAAGGAATTCCAAAGTCAGCGAGTTAGGTCAGATCGGCAACTTGCTTCTTGGAGAGCAAAATCAGCTTGGCAAGGACTTTCAATGTTGGCGAGCAAAGTCAGCTTGGCAACTTACTTCTTGGCAAGCAAAATCAGGTCGGCAAAGAAATTTAAAATTGGCGAGTAAGGTCAGCTCGGCAACTTGCTTCTTGGCGAGTAAAATCAGCTCGGTAATGAATTCTGAAGTCGATCAAAACCATTAACAACCCTCTTGCCGAGCAAAATCCGCTCGGCAAGGAATTCCAAAGTTGATCAAAACTATCAACAAACCTCTTGCCGAGCAAAATCCGCCCGGCAAGGAATTCCAAAGTTAATCAAAACCATCAACAAACCTCTTACCGAGCAAAATTCACCCGGCAAGGAATTCCAAAGTTGAACAAAACCATCAACAAACCTCTTGCCAAGCAAAGTCCGCTCGGTAAGAAATTTTGATCTTTCCGTCAAAATGATTGTTAGTTGCCCCTTGGACTGCGCTAAATCTGTTTGGTGGGATGAAAATACAACACTTCTCAAAAAACGATGTACTTGTTTCATTATGTCAATAGTAGAAAGGGTTACAAACGTAAAACTAAGAATAAAATTGCATATTGGCAGCAATTGGCAAAGTTCGACATTCTGGAAATAGATCGGCCATTTATATTTTGCGAGTTTTATGCCCATTTCCTCGTCCTTCTTACTAACATCTTCCAAAATCGAACTCCCTATATCTCAGCCATGGTTGTTTGCATGACAATCCTCTTGTTCGACTGCATAAACCTTTCCCACTATTTGCTTGTCCTTTACTACCAAACTTGCCATCACGGTAACTGCGGCTACATCATTTTCGATTCGGATGTGCTCATTAATGTGTTGCATGAGCAGTTCCATGGTCGACGGTTGATTCATTGTGAGCGAGTCTCTCAATTGATGTCCAACTGGAAGACCGCGCTTATATTGAGTGATTGCAAGGTTGGTTGGGCAATCAAGAATCTCATTGAAAGTCTCTCAATACTTAGTGTTATACACCTTGCTCGGCTCCATCTTTATTCCCAACAGATGGTCAACTTCCTTGGGCGTTGTGGTGTTTGTCTTGAACCTAGTGACAAACGCCTCTGCCAACTGTTGGCACCCCTCAATACTTTCCTCCGGCAGCCTCTCGAAACATTTTAGGCCCAATTCGCCTAAACTCGATGGAAAAATAAGGCACATCAATGCTTCGTTTTGCCTGTGTCCAGCCATACCTTGCTGGAAATGGTTAACGTGCATGTAGGGATCGATTTTTCCGTCATAGAGCGTGAACTTGGGTTGGTGGAACCCAGTGGGGAGCGGCGTGTTCTCTATCTCAATGGAAAAAAGGGTGGTGCTTAGCTTTGCCAACTCTTTGTTTGGTGGCATGTGTGACACCGTCGTCGGACGTGAGGGACAGTAACTGCTGTCCTGCGTACGAGATGTCACCGCCGGCGCGACATAGTCTCCAACTCTGAAGCTTCTCATGACGGTGAGTGAAGTGGTGCGGCGTCTATTTTGACTGCCGAAACGACGAGAATGGGCATGCTCACTGTGGTTTCCCACTTCAGCGACACCATTTCCCTTCATCTGGCGTTTCATGGTCTCCATCTCTGTCGCCATCTTCTTGATGATGGTATCCTAGTCTCTTAGCTTGTTTTCCAGGTACTGAGTGTGTGAGTCTCGCCGTCGGCGATGCTCTTTTGGGCTAACAAAGCGCCTAGGACTCCCCGTGCGCTTGTCTCACGCATTTCTGGAAAGTCCTTGCATGGAGGTCTCCAAACCAGCCATCGTCGGAATGGCAGACAGGCCATCTTTGTGCCGAACGGACTCTGGCATGATGTCGTCAATGGCAGACAGTGGAATGTCGTTGTGGTTTGCCATAAAAGATGACCGGAAAAGCTTGGAGGATAAGGTTTTGTCTGTCGGATTCCCACAGATGGCGCCAATTGTACAGGGAGAAAATATCCGATGTTGTCCGTACTCCTTGTGTCCAAGCTTCACGTCACTTCAATTAACCTGCAAACACAACGATGGTGAGCTACCCGACGGTGTGTTGCCGGAAAACCCCTCCGACGAGCAAGTTAGTACACTTTTTTGAGAGAGAAAGAGAGAGAAGACCAAAGAGAGATAGAGCCCTGGGTTACTAGAAAATCAGATCTCTTGTATGGAGGCACTGCTCAGTCTATATAGCCTCTGTGTGCATTGCTCTGCTCGTCCTTTCCTGGTTGCATGGTTGTACTGCCCTCTCTATTCTTTACATGCGTACCTATCAATACCGCCAAACAACATTGGCCGAACTGCCAAACGGTATTGACGCACACCATTGGCGGGTTTTTCTTCTCACACTCCAATTGGACCGACCAACCTCAATTCCGGCTGACCTTCAGGGTCAAGCTCAATTACTAGCTCGGTTTGTCCAACTCCGTTTGTTCCCGCTAACCTTGCTCGGCCTTGGACCATCGCTTCACCTGGCTCGGCCTTGGACCATCGCTTTATCTAGCTCGGCTTAACTTGGTCCAACTTCTGGACCTTGGGCAAACTCAAACGCATGATCTAGAACCTGAGCCAAACTGCCCTCGGTTATGCCAATTCGGTCGCGTAATCCAACGACAAGGCCCAAGTCACAACTAGCTCGGCCCGTTTGCTCGGCACATACTTCCCTCTCAATCACATACATAGCTCGGCCCACACTTTTCCACCGAGCACATACATAGCTCGGCCCATTCTGCTCATTGGATTTTTTCCCCTCTCAATATATAAATATTTTCATTCTGTATCATTCTCATCAAATCACTAAATCCAAATGGACAGCAAAAGCATATTTTTCACTTTTTAGTTTTGGAAAAAGTTTCCTCAAACCACATGGATGGAAGGAAAACATTTCAAAATTTAACATTTAAGTGATTTGTGCCCCAATTTTGTAAAGAGGAATATTTTATAGTTTGAATTTGCTGCAGTTACTTATCTACTAATGCACTACTAAGGCAACTAACTAGGTAGAGGCATCAAAGAGGAAAGATAGAGGTAATGTGGTTGGTGAGGTCAAAGCAAGTTCAAACTTGAATGTTGGAAATGTTTCCAACATGTTTCTAGTCCTTACATCAACTTTAGGCAAATGAATCCTCTCCCATGGTGAAATTTTGATTCCTTCATGTCTCTTCTCATTGGAATGAGCTAGAGTGAATGAGATACATGACATTGTTTCTTTTTTGTCTTAACTTAGACTCTTGGGGTTGTGATAGACTTATCTTAAAAGGGTTTAGGTTTTGTTAGTGTTGGCCGTTTGAGCTTGAGGCTCGTTGCTTTTGCATTTGCTGCCTTTAGAAGGTTTGTATTGGACACTATTGTGTATTTTCTCCTTTTGATAATAAAATATTCACTTACTCAAAAAAAATCTAGATGGAATCAAAATTTATATACTCACATGTTCCTGCTCTCTTTTGTTAATTAGTAACAAAATATGAAAGAGTTTATATGAACGAAAAAAATGTTAAATATCTTATATCATTACTTACCTTTAATTGTCACTGTAATCATAACTTCGGACAAGAAATCAATTACATGATACGTCTAATTAATTGATGATACAAAATGGTTAAAAATTTTGCCACAAAACATTTTTATTATTTGAACTTCAACTTCTCTAGTGCGTGAAATGACGACCTTGCCATTTTTACAAAAGTGAAGTTGAGTTATGTCCGACTCTGGTGCAAGAATGTTTGGAGGGTGTGGTCAGAAATTATTAAGTGGTGGGCGTTGGTTCGGGTGGTGCTAGGTTCTACAAGCCTGTTATGGGAGTGGTGGAAGAGTTGGAGGTATAAAAGAGCAAGGAAGGTTATTTGAAAGGTGATCCCATCCATGGTACTATGGTCAGTGTGGGGACTTAAAAATAATGTGTGTTCAATCAAATTGAGAAGAATTAATTGATTTAATTAAATTTGAGTTGTTCTTTGGGCTAATATGAGATCTGAGCTAAGGGGTTTGCCAATGTCACAGTTGCTTAGTTGTCGCCGACAATTGTGTTTTTGCATATAGTGCTTTGAATTGGAGCAAAGGAGCATCGTCAGAAATTTGTTACTTCTATGGGCAACAGTTGTGCTGATGGTAAAGGATTAGAAAATGACTTTTGAACATAGTTGTTGCTTTATATGATATTTTTATTTTTTGTTCTTTCCTTGGCTTTCGTTGGAAATCTCAAAACTCTCGTCTTTGGAAAGTGCTGGCATATGATTGGGCGTGCCTTTTTGTGGCAACCTAGTTGGGATGGAGAGGTTTTGCTATGATGCTTTGTACATTTTCCATGTTATTTATGTATTCTCTTCTGTGTTTTGTGCCTTCGGTTTGCATCAATAAAATCTCTCTTTTGTTGTTCTAAAAAAAAAAAAAAAGTCATATCCCAAACATTGATGACAATAAATATGAGTCATACCAAACCAGGCATAAGAAAAAGGGGGCCACCATAATCCCCAGGCCAGTGCCCATCCTCAGCTTGGAGGGATGCGTAGAACCTTAGGGCCTTTCTCAATGTGGTTTCCACTGCTTCCTTAGTTACTTCTTCTTCACTTCCAACTTTCAGCCGTGATAACTTCATCTCACATGGATTCTTGTTTGCAAACTATTTGTACATTAGGAATAAAAGCAATGTATCAACAAATCAATATTCAAATATATATATATTACAATTAGACTGATCAACAAAAAAGAAACGCACAAATGCTGGGTGGGCTTTTTTATTTCTTTCGGGTGGTGTTCTTCTATAATTTTTACAAATGGACAATGCAAGACAATGATAATTGAAACTAAAACACAATGAAATGCGAGTTACCTGAAGTCTCATGAGCAGATCTGAACTATGTTTAACTTCAAACCGGTTCTTGTAAAACTCTTGGCGAAGTTTTTCAATTTGAGTTCGTTGCTCAGTTGTTCCAAGATTTGGGTCGAACTCCCAAAATTGTCTACCAATGTGATTATTTACACTTTTGAGGCATGGATCATTGCTTTTAGAGAGTACAAGTTTCCACATTTCTTTTCTTTGTTGCCTCGAATGTAATTCTTCCAGAGCCTAGAAAGTACATGTTAAGTTTAACAGCATCTAAAGGTGAGACCCTTAATTTTCTTAAGACTACAATCGAACATCAAACAACTACAAACTTCATTAATGATCCTTGTTTAGTTTCAGTTTGGTCTTTATTAATATTTCCATTCAACACAGCTGTCTTTTAATTTTAATTTTTAGTTTAAATTTGTTCAATCAATAATAGTCATTTAAATTTTTTTTTTTTTTAAAATGATAATGTGCAGTACAAACGACAAACTTTTGTGGGCAAAATGATTCTCTCTCTCTCTCTCTCTCTCTCACACACCTTCTTCCCCCTCCATAGTCATTTTGATCACCAACCACATAAACTTTTTTTCTCTGCCATGTATGGAGGATATACATTGTAAGAGAAAGAGATGTTGTATGCTTTTATCTTCTTTTCCCTCTATATTCATTTTGATCACAAACCATACAATCTTTTTTTTTCTTCTTTTCCATGTATATATATATAGAGAGAGAGATATTTGTTTGAAAGACAGAGAGAGAGTGATGCATAGTGTTTGGCCAAAGAATTTTTAGAACTTGTAGACAAACAAGGCAAAGGCAAAAGGCACTAGTAGATGCAAGACAACACGTGCTCAAAATGGCATGAAATTCTGTCGGGACATGGAAAATGATGTGGCAATCAATGCCCATCCCTTTGCCATGGCCAACAATTGATTTCGATTAAATTCCAATGTTTAGGCTTTTAATTTTACCATTTTCTATTTTTTGAAATAATTGATTTGTCTATAACTTAGTTTGGAAGAATCCAATTGGGGCTTGATTGTTTCCAGAATATGTATTGTTGATTATAGTTTGCAGCTTTGAGCTTAACTCAAATCTTTCCATTTTAGGAAATTTTTGTAATTTCTTTGATTTAGGCATGATTAGCAAGTATTGCCTCTTCTGTTTATTTCCCAGTTTAATTAAGACTTCGTTCTATTATAAATAAGAGTTGTAAGCCTTAGGGAAAAACACTTTTGATATATTATAAACACTTTGTTGAGAGAATTCTCTTATTTCTCTTATATTTCTGGTAATCTTTGGATTCAACAGACTGCAGAAGAGTTGCAACTTTTTTTGGTACGTGATTCTACTGTTGTTCACGTTCTACGCTGCATTTGTTTGTATCAAAGCTTAGGCTCAGTTCTTGATCGATCATCATGGTTCAAGGAGTTTGTGGTGGTGGTCAACAAGCTGCTGTTGAAAATGTGTACGAGCGCAATGATGTTGTGCGACTAGCACAACTAGAAGCCCAAATAACACAACATTTCACTAAACAGGTCGAAGCATTAGGAGAGCAGCTTGGTGCCATGGCAGTTGATAAAGGTGCACCTCAAAAATGTTTTCCAAATCCAGAGTGTGTGGGAGGATATGGATGATATCAAGGATGAAATCAAGAACCTATTTGGTGCATACAGACCGTCAATGAGATGACTGGTGGCAAAATGTACGTCTAATCGGTGGGAATTGGGCTTCAAACTTGATATACCATAGTTCAAGGGTTGTTTACAACCTAAATGAATTGGGTGGCTGCAATAGAGGAGATCCTGGATTTCAAACAGGTTCCCCTTGACAAAAGGGTTCCTTTGGTGGCAACAATAGAAACAGATTTGGATGCGTCATGGGAAACAATAGATCAACACGTTGGAGAAACTATTAAAGCATATGGGTGCGGTATTTTTGCCCCACAACTAATTGAGGACGTTGTACTAACAACTCCAGAATTTGCGGCAACAACCTCGAATTGTCAATGATTATACATTATCTTGGAAACTCAAATGTTTTCCAAAGCAGCGGAGGAAACCGCTCTAACCCTCTAGTCCCAAATAGGAAGGAATACTATTCCGCTGGCCACCATAGAAAACGTCGTGGCACATGACCAACCTAATTGGCCATCAAGTAGCGGCGATTCAACCCACTGTTTCAAGTACGGTTAAACTAGACATCGAATGGTAGAATGCAAGAAGAGTGGTCGTTATGGCAAAGGATTATTTGTATGCAATGTGTAGAGTGACAATGAACTAGTGGATAAGGAATATGACCTTTAGTATGATGAGGATGATGTTAGCGAAGAACCTGTATAGGGTGATGACAATCCATGGTAATTCGGACGACTTGTTTTACCCCTCAGAAAGTTGATGGTGATGATTCGCTTCGCAATAACATACTTCAGTCTACTTGCACTATTGGTGTGAATGTTTGCAACGATCCAGAAATTTAATTACTCTTTGAATTTCATATTAGTATTTAATCACAATTGAAAACATACATAATTTATTTTGGGCAATGGTAGAGGGCCACAATTTTTGTGGCTCAAATGGCTCAAAACTGTCAAAACGACGTCGTTTTGAGCACAAAACATGTCAAAACGACGTCGTTTTAGCAGTTTTGAGCCATTTGAGCCACACAAATTGTGGCTCTCAAACATTATTCATTTATTTTATATGTAATTGGGGTTAAAATATAACTATCAAGAAGTTTGTGGCTAAAATGTAAATATAAAAATAGGAAATTGTCACCTTGAATTTGAGTGAGACATATGGCATCTTGCAGGCAAGGAAAATTTATCAATATATATAGGCGTGGGTTTTAGAAAAAAAGAAAGAAAAAGAGGAGAGAATAAAAGAGTAGGAGAAAAGAAACGAAGCTGTTGAGACTGGGAGGTGAGAGTTGGATAGATAATTGATTAGAAGTCTGAATGGATGATCAGATAGTTAATTAGTGTTCATAATTTGATATATAAGTGAGTTGTGTTGTACCTTGAGTTACTATAAACTGTTTTTATGTAAATCATGCTTTGTAAACTATATTAGTATTTCAAATGTATTATTTGTTGAATGATCCCTACTTGTGTAAAACAAGAAACTTATAGATATAACTGTTTATTAAATATGATTTTGACAATGATTTGGTAAATAATCATCTAAGTAAATGTTTTTGTAAGTACCACTACAGAGGTTTCATGTCTTGGGATATTTAAATAAGCATTGACTCTCTGATTATTACTATGGTGACCCTCTAGTATGGAACAAAGTGTTGTGTGGAGTTACGTGCTACATTATTGTGGGAGCCACCTCTAAAATCCGTTTAAGTCATCACTTGAGTCCATACATCTATATTATCATGGATCCATTGACCTTCTGTTCTAATTGTCACTCCAGTGATCTTTTGTTGTGGAGCAAAGTGCTATGTGAAGCTATACGAGTCACTTCTTGAGTCTATATATTTGTTTTGTCACTAATCTTCTAATCTGTGCTTGTGGATATGGTTATATGTTTCGTATGGTACCATATATATATATATATGATTTCTGAAATACAATTCTATTATTTGAAGTGGACTATAACAACTTATATATTTTGACTAAAATGTTATCATCTGATCAGTTTTAGCCTAAATGTTTATCTATGTAATTTTATGAGCCTTATACTCTCGGTATGATACTCTTCACTCTGCAATATACTTATAAGTTGTTTACCAATTCTCAGGAGATGATGTTTAGAGAGGGAGGTGTGTGTATGGCTCATTTTGAGAATGGAACTATGGAGTAGATGCACAATGCATTTTTGTAATATTTGTAAAAGTCGACCTATTTAATTAATGGCCTTTGTTATAATTAAATAGAAACTTCGATGTATGTTTTGCTATCCTATTTAATTAATTATTTTTGCATGCATTTATTTATTTAATTGTCCTGTAATCGGCCTTGGGTAATCACGGTTACTAGGAGTGGGTCGTGACAATGTGTGTTGCCTTGTCATTGATTTTGGCAGTTGTGAAAACGTTGTTTTAGAGGAAGTTGTTCGAAAGTTAGGTTTGGCGACAGAGAAACTGATAAAATTGATGTATAGAGAAATAGAGAATTGTATTATTGATTGATGTATGTTATCTATTACAAATGGTGAGGGGCTCCTTATATAGGAGATGTAGTGGAGTAGGTGGTAGTAGGTGGTAGTGGTAGGTGTGTAGTAGGTGGTAGTAGGTGGTGGTAGGTGTAGTAGGTGGAGTAAGTGATGGTAGGTTTTAACAGCCCCCCGAAAACTCAAGGGGGATAGGAACTAACCAACTTGAGTTTGGAGAGAGTAACAAAACAAGAAAATAGACGAATACATAAAAGAAAAGAGGATATGAGACACTGTATGGGCGTGTCAGACCGGTGGTGAAGACACTGTATGGTTGTGTCATAACGTTGTAGAGGACACTGGATGGTTGTGTCAGACCGTTGTAGCAGATAAAGTCTGGACAGTTGACGAGGTCACACCGGATCGAGGGAGAAGCTAACCGGAATCAATGTCGGGACAGTTTAGGGGGTCATGTCGGACTGTTGGAAAAGTCGCACCCTCAAAAGGTGTGCCCAATCTGTCAAAAGGCGTGCCATCAAAAGGCGTGCCGGACATGATGGCGAGACGCGTGACCACCTTGGCTTGCGCGCCCAGGCTGTCGTCTAGCGCCGAGCGGCGCACGATGCGCGTGTCTGCCTTGGCTATTTAACCAAGACGAAGGCTGAGGCTGAGGCAGAGGCTGAGACAAAAAAACTGCTAAAAACCTCTGAAAAACTCTTCGTTTTCTGAGAGAGATATTCGTTTGCTGAGAGAGATACTCTGTAACACTCTGTTGCCCAGAAAATGGCCTCGTCTTCCCGTGGTCTGCTCACTCTCTTTCCCGACCTCAACGAGTCAACAAGAGAGATAACTGGTGCGGTGGCCCGTGAACCTCAACCAAACACCTCGGGTTTTGCTCCGTTGAACTTTCCGATGCGGTCTGTGGAGCAAAAAATGGCAGTGCAAACGGATATTGAGGCCAATCAGTATACATTGAAGTCATGTGTGGAGACCATGACTGCGGTCACAAACTTGTCGCACCGGCTTCAGAGTAGGACAAATGAGGTGCAGCTGGCCGGATAAAGAATCCGAGGGAAAATCTGTTTTGCGCAGCAGATCCAAAACAAAACAATAACATCTTCCAAAAGGATGCTCATC